TCTTGGTCAGGCTGGTGTTAAAGTCCTGAGCTCAAGGGATCACCCACCTCAGCCTCCCAGAGTGGTAGGAATACAGGTGTGAGCCACTGCACTAAGCCTCAATAGTGAGAGATTTTTAAAAAGAAAAGAAGCCAGTTAAAGTAGATTCTATCTTTGACCTTCTAGGACTGGACTAGAAGTTCTTCCAGGTCCCTCCTTAAGATACCTCATGATGTGCCGCTTTGTGGGTTTTGGGAGGGGATACATGGGTCTAGAGGGAAGTCTCTACGTCCAAACAGCCGAGTGTCTCCCCTCAAAACAACTACAAGCAGTAGAAAAGAGAAAAAAATAAATCTTTTCATTTTCTTACTCAGCCTGCTCTCTACAAAAGATTAGAATACTGTCATTTTAATCAACATGGTGTTTAAAGTGATCTGCCATCCACCTAGCTCCCTCTAAACCCACACGCATATTTCCAAATCTTCTGGGATGGTTTAGTTCTTTTGACCTTTACCATTGTCTATCCAGTTCATTGACTTTAAGAATCTTTGTAACATCACCTCTCTAAAAACATAAAAAATAGGTTCATTATCATGCCCATTGAATGTATGTATATGGCAAGCCTGAGAAAGCAGCAAGAGAACTTATTTGCTATCTAATGATAACCTAGTAAGAAAAAAGTCATCACCCCATTCACTTTAAATAAAACTTCCACAGAGGACTGAATATTACATGAAAATTCTTCCTCACATAATTCTACAAAGCCAAATGGTCTTTAAAGGAGCAAAATGTGATCCAAGCTCAGATGCAATATAGAAACTATGCCACTATTATTCTTCCTTTATTTCTAGATGCATACATGGATTTTATGAATTTTAATAGTATCATTTATATAACTTATCATTAATAATATTTTCATATTAACTCAATAATGAAACTACTTTTTAAGGATCATTCTTAAAAAACAGCAGGTGAGAAAGAAGGAAAAAAAAAATTCTTGTTTTGGTGTTAGTTACCTGTTTGGCCACTGGGGGCCAGAGTAGATCTTCCTAAAGTCCTAAATTCAGACAGACAGGGTATGTCTAACTCATGTCCTGCTGCATACTGAAACAAGCATGGTAAGGACACTAACAGTCAACACCCTCAGCCTCTTCAAATGTCTCCTACTGTGCTGATTTCCATGTCAATGATCTTACTTTAAAAAAAAAAGTTCTTAAAATGCTTTCTAAGTAAATATCACAAATTCCAAGTTATTGGCTCTAATTAAAGAAAGTGGAGAGCACATGATTTGCTATCAAGCTTCCTTTAAAGATCTACATTTTATTTTCATTATAGTCTCTACTTTTGCCTCTGTGTCCCCCATCTGTAACATATACTCTTAAACCTGAAACATGAGAAATACTACATCTTTGACCTCTTTCTGAGCCCTAAAAGCAGCATAACATGCAAACTAACATATTTGTTTTGAATGCTTTAAAAATGTGTTTAGGGGCCGGGCTAGGTGGCTCACATCTGTAATCCTAGCATTCTGAGAGGCCAAGGCAGGTGGATTGCCTGAGCTCAGGAGTTCAAGACCAGCCTGAGCTAGAACAAGACCTCATCTCTAAAAACATAGCCAGGTGCTGTGGCAGGCGCCTGTAGTCCCAGCTACCAAAGAGGCTGAGGCCAGAGAATTGCTTTGAGCCATGATGCCATAGCACTCTACCAAGGGTAACAAAGTGAGACTCTGTCTCAAAAAAAATAATAATAATAAATTAAATAAAAATAAAAATATGTTAGAGAAAGTAAATTTTATATTGGGGAAACTCACATTAATATACAATGAGGTGGCACCCATAGCTCAGTGAGAAGGGCACCAGCCACATACAATGAGGCTGGTGGGTTCAAACCTAGCCCGGGCCAGCTAAACAACAATGACAACTGCAACCAAAACATAGCTGATCTGGTGGTGCCTGTGGCTCAGTGAGTAGGGTGCCAGCCCCATATATCAAGGGTGGCAGGTTAGAACTCAACCTGGTCAAATTGCAACAACAATAACAAAAGATAGCCAGGTGTTGTGGCAGGCACTTGTCCGTCCCAGCTACTTGGGAGACTGAGGCAAGAGAATCGCCTAAGCCCAAGAGATGGAGGTTGCTGTGAGCTGTGATGCCATGGCACTCTACCAAGGGCAACAAAGTAAGTCTCTAAAAGAAAAAAAATACACAATGAACTTATGTTTATGTAAAATAGTTGGGAAATGGCTCACATTGACTAAAATACAATAGAGACTCAGCGCCTGTAGCTCAGTGGCTAGGGCACCAGCCACATACACGGGAGCTGGAGGGTTCGAACCTAGCCTGGGCCTGCCAAACAACAATGATAACTACAACCAAAAAATGTCCAGGCATTGTGGTGGGCAACTATAGTCCCAGCTACTCGGGAGGCTGAGGCAAGAGAATCACTTCAGCCCAAGAGTTTGAGGTTGCTGTGAGCTGTGATGCCTCAGCACTCTACTTAGGGCTAAAGTGAGTGAGAACATAAGTGAGACTCCGTCTCAAAAAAAAACAAAAAACAAAAAACAAAAAAACAAAGAAATGCAGTAGAGATGCCTCTTCATTATTCCTTCCGAGTGAAAGGTGTTTGGTTAGGATAATTCCTGCCCTCTCTCTACCCCTTCACTCACTTCACCCACAGAAAGTAGACTAGTGTTAAGGAATGAATATTTATGTCCCCCCAAAATTCTTATGTTGGAACCTAGCGGGCAGCTAACCCTCAGTGTGACTGTAATTGGAGATGGGGCCTCTAAGGAAGTAATTCAGTTAAATGAGGTCACAGGGTGGAGCACTGATGGGGTAGAATTAGTATCCTTACAAGAAGAGACACCAGAAGAGCACCTGCTCTCCTGCTCTCTCCCTCCCCCTCTCTCTGAGGACAGGCCACATGAGGACACAGTGAGAAGGCAGCCAGCCAGAAAGACAACCCTCACCAGAAACCGACTCTGCTGAACTTTGATCTGGGACTTCTATCACCGAGCATTATGAGAAAATAAATTTCCATTATCTAAGCCACCCAGGCTGTGGTACTTTGTTAAGGCAGCCTGAGCTTAGTAATAGTGCTAGTAAATATGGAAGGAGTACGCTGGGCAGGCCTGACACACTTCTGTTCACCTTCTTTGTGGAATGTAGGTGCCCACAGAGGCTGGTATCCTCCAGGCGCAAACTTCCCTCTACCTGGTGAGGAGGTTGAACACAGCTTGTGACTGATAGGAAAGTCTATCTTATTCTTGAACTCTTCAGCAATCCACTTATCTTTCACACACAGCTATATCCTCTAACTTCATCATTGTTAGTATCAGAGATGGTATTTTGGCTTCTGTCTGACATGGTCTTTGTTTTCTTTCCCAATTTGGTTGTAACAGAGTGGTTGAGAAGAACTGATAATGTGTTGAACCCACTTAAGACCTCACATTTACATGGATTATAATACAAAACAAGTAAAAAAAAATTATCCAGAATATAATACTTTTGAAATTCAGAAGGCCTTTGGGTTATGCTTCTGATTATTATTTATCATTTTATTAGAACTAAGGCAAATCTTTCTTAGCCCTCTAAAACCAAATAAGTCCTTTTAATGCCATATGGAATATTATCATTTCTCTTTGTAATAAATTTCAACTATAGGTTCCTCCTTCAAAAATGAATTGAAGGGCTGGGTGTGGTGGCTCACGCCTATAATCCTAGCACTTTGGGAGGCTGAGGCAGGTGGATTTCCTGAGTTTACAGGTTCAAGACCAGCCTCAACTAGAGTGAGACCTCATCTCTAAAAATAGCTGGGTGTTTTGGCAGGCACCTGTAGTCCCAGCTACTTGGGAGGCTGAGGCAAGAGGATCACTTGAGCCCAGGAGTTTGAAGTTGCTGTGAGCTACCCCTTCACTCACAGAGGCCACAGCACTCTACCCAGGGTGACAGTAAGACTCTATCTCAAAAAAAAAAGAATTTAAATTAAATGGAAATTTTTAAAAATTAAATGGAAGGACAATAGTAAAAATAAATCAAATTCAAGGGTAATTATAATGAAATGTCCATGCTTCTGCTTTCAAAAACTCATCTCATTTTTCTAAAATATAACCACAGTCAAAAGCTTGTATCTTCACACACAGGAAGTTGAATATTCTTCTGAATAATGTCAGTGAGTAAAATTTTTTTTAAAAATCATTAACTGATAGAATGATTTCTTTTCTAAAACTTCCATAATCTTCTTTAATCCTTTCTGGAAGCTATACAATAATTTAAATTAATGCTTATCTCAAAATGCACCCCTGCCATGACTACTTGCTTTCGTAATTATGCACAAAACAGGCTTAAATGAGGAGTGGCCTAAATGTATAACAGGTAACTCTACCTATAAAATGTGAGCATATTATACAGGAATAGCCAGACAGACTTTTATTAACAGATTTGTTTTTCCATTGGCACTGTTCCATCTCCATTGCCTTAATGCTTGGAATTTTAAAAGCTAAAGGTGATGAAGATTTTTAAATTCCAAGTTTCAGAAGGAAGTGGAGTTAAGTTAGACTTAGTAGCCACTTTCTCCTCTTTCTCCAACTTCCAAAAGGTGGTTCCCCAATCTTTTCAGCACCGGGGACTGTTCATGGAAGACAATTTTTCCACAGATGGTTGGGGGGCAGGGTCTGACAGGAGGCAGAGCTCAGGCAGTGACATGGAAGACAATTTTTCCACAGACCAGGAAAAGGTAAGGGTGTCTGGGGAGCGATGGGGGAATCTAACAGGAGGTAGAGCTCAGGCAGTGATGTGAGTGATGAAGCTTCACTCACTGGAGCACTGCTCACCTCCTGCTGTGCAGCCCCCCCACAACAGGCCATGGGCTATACTGGCCCACAGCCTGAGAGTTGAGGACCGTAGCTTTATAGGGTGAGACTGAATCTAATGCAACTAAATTCTCAGTCTGAACATACTTGATGCAAAGATAAACATTTAAAACTACAGCTGAAATTTTATTAAAATTTATTAGAAATTCTTTACCTTCATCAAAAGAATCTGAAGTGCTGCTTTTGTCTAAAGAAAGATACTCATTTTTATTCAAGTCCAGTGATTTTGATGGTACTCTACTTAACCTCTTTGGTGAAGTTGGTAAAGGGCTCTTTTTGATCTGTTTCTCTCTTTGGGGCTCCTCTTTCCCTAAGCCCTAGAAGGCAAACAATCCAGTTAAAAAAAAAAAAAAAAAAACAGAATCTTTAGGCTTAGATTTTACAGTGAGAACTTTAACATTCAAGATGGTTTAAATATAGCTCTTTGAAAAATATTCATAGCATTTTGTTTGTTATGTTTATATCACATTTTCAATGCTGCTAAATGTTAGCTCATAAAATATTACTAAATAATACATAACATTCTGAAGTCACTTTCTTACACAGTAATGAACAACAAATTTATGAAAAACAGCATATACAAAGAACTCACAGATAGTTAACATCATGTGAATCACTTACAGAAAAGAAAAGAAACAGAGGCCAAAAGTAACGGAACTATCAGTTTTCTGGGGTGGGCAAGAGAGAGGAGCCAAACCCAGTTAGTTTCCCACGCCATTGTCTGCCCCATCACCTCAAAAGAGAGAACTCACCCATATCTCAAGACCTGAAGGGGAAAGGGAAAGAAAATGGAGAGATAAAAAGTCATATAAGAGTACAGTGTGGGAGAGAAGATTCAAAGGGAAATTAATCTGATAGCAAACTCATAAAAATACAATTGGTTTTGCTGGAAAGGGTCTAAGAGTTTAGGCATTAAAATATATTCAACATAAGATGCTATTTGTATTTTCTGGGATGGTTTGATAAATACATGTCATTTCTACAATAAATTTAATGGTAGGCATTAAGTGTGAATGCTATCATTATGTTATCAGTTAAGTAAAATAGTATGGTGTTATAATCAGGCTTAGTAGAACAGTATAAAAATCTATATTAAACTATACAGCAAAATATTTTCTTGCATTGTCTATGTGTATACAGATGAGAGAGAGCTAAAAGCAAATAGAAAATCCTTATACTTCCTGTCCCATGAGATCCTTGAGCTACATCAAACAGCAAAAGCAACTCCAGGGAGGATACAGGTTCCCACTGGCCTCTCCAAAAGCAAAATAACAACTGAGATCCATGATACAGTTTATTAGAGGATTATGTTAACCTAGTCAGAAGATTGATTCTTCAAGTAGAGATGACTGCTAAAATCAAGACAATTTATTTGGGAGCTCTGACTATAAAGCAACATGCTTATTTAGCTAACCTGGGGCCCCTTTAACAAATACTAAGTAAAGTTTCCCTGCAGCTCCATAATTGTTTCTCTTCTTATTGAAAACTAAGTTATATTTTCTATTATAAAACACATAGATACTTACAAGAAAAATAGCAGTCACATTTCAGTGATGATTTTTATTTTGTTGGTTCTATTATTTCTATTTGAAATCTTACAAATAATATTAATTTTATAACAAACATTTTCATTTTGGAAAAAAATTATTTCTGACTTTTTGTTATTTCCAATTTTGCTGGAAGTAAAATCAATGCAAAGTGACACTTGTATTTGTCAACATCTAAGAATCTCACCACATTGCTCTTGAATGCAAAAGGGAAAAAAAGACTAAAACATGTGCATTATTTGTATTCCATAACCTGAAAACATTTGTAACACCAATCTTAGACATTAATGAATATATGATCTATCTTAAAACTTTAAGTTACTCACCTCCATTGCACAAGTAGAAAGTCACTAAAGGTCTCTAGATGAATACATTTTGCAAGAATGCAAAGAATGTAGATGCATTACTGTTTTCTGAAAAAAGCTGGTAACTTGGAAGCCTTTCACATAAATACATTCTCTTTTGATGTTTTCCTAAAATTTACTCAGAAGAGCCAGTTGGGAGTTCCCTGGGGTAGGGTGGAAATGGACCATTGCTGGCCACATGCAGACTCACCTTCAATTACAACAGTTTATAGTTATTAGATACTTAATGTGTGTTAGAGAATGTTGTAAGTAGAGTCACACAAGGTTTAACAATAGGGATATATTGGCTTGGCGCCTGTGGCTCAAGTGGCTAAGGCGCCAGCCACATATACCTAAGGTGGCGGGTTCAAATCCAGCCTCAGGACTGCCAAACAATGATGGCTGCAACCAAAAAATAGCCGGGCATTGTGGCGGGCTCCTGTGGTCTTAGCTACTTGGGAGGCTGAGGCAAGAGACTCGCTTGAGCCCAGGTGTTGGAGGTTACAATGAGCTGTGATGCCAGAGCACTCTACCCAGGGGGAAAGCTTGAGGCTCTGTCTCAAAAAAAAAAAAAAAAATAGGGATATATTCTAAGAAATGTATTATGAAGCAATTTTGTCATTGTGCCAACATCATAGAGTGTGCTTAAATAAACCTAGAGGGCATAGCTTACTACAAACCTAGGCTACATGTATAATATAGCCTATTGCCCCTAGGCAACAAACCTGGACAGCATGTTACTATAGTGAATACTGTAGGCAATTGTAGCACAATGCTAAGTATTTGTATACTGAAACATAATGAAACATTGAAAAGGCATAGTAAAAATATGGTATAAAAGATAAAAACTAGGGCAACGCCTGTGGCTCAGTGGATAGGGCACCAGCCCCCTAAACCAAAGGTGGCAGGTTCAAACTGCAACAAAAAAATAGCCAGGCAGGCGCCTGTAGTCCCAGCTACTGGGGAGGCTGAAGCAAGAGAATCACCTAAGCCCAGGAGCTAGAAGTTGCTGTGAGCTATGTGATGCCACAGCACTCTACTGAGGGCAATAAAGTGAGATTCTGTCTCTACAAAAAAAAAACTGGTACACCAGTATAGGGCACTCACCATGAATGGTGTCTGCAAGAATGGAAGTTGTTCTGGATGAGTCAGTGAATGAATGTGAAGGCTTAGGACATTACTGTACACTACTACAAGACTTTATAAACACTGTACTTAATGTATTAAAAAAATTCTTTCATCAATAATAAACTAAACTTAGCTTACTCTAACTTTTTAAATTGATGAACTTTTAAATTTTTTTAAAATTTTGACTTTTTCATTATAACACTTCACGTAAAACATAAATACATTGTACAACTATACAAAAGTATTTTCTTTCTTTATATCCTTATTCTAAAAGCTCTTTTCTATTTTAAAATATTTATTTTATTTTTTTACTTTTAAGTGTTTTTATTAAAAACTAAGAAACAAACACACACATTAGTCTAGGCCTATAGAGCGTCAAGACCATTAATTTCACTGTCTGTCACCTCCACATTTTGTTCTACAAGAAGGTCTTTAGGGGCAATAACATGCATAGAATTGTCATCTCTTATATTAGGAGCACTTCTGAAATACCTCTTGAAGGACCTGTCTTAGGCTCTTTTACAGTTAAGTTAGGTTTCATTTTTTTTTAATATAAGTAGGAGTATACTCTCAAATAACAATAAAAATTATATTACAGTAAATACACAAGCTAGTAACAGTCATTTATTTTCATCATTATGTATTATGTACTATACCTAATTGTATGTGCTATATCTACTTTTATAAGAATGGCAGTGCAGTAGGTTTGTTTACACCAGTATCACCTCAAACATTTGAGTAATACATCATGCTGCCACATTACAACAGCTATGATGTCAGTAGGCAATAGGAACTTCTCAGCTCCATTACGAGTACTTGAAAAAATAAAAGAAGAAACCAACTGACTCTAAAGCTCAGTGTTTAACTGAAGTACCCACTATAGGAGGCAGCTTAAGCAGCCTTTATTGTTATTCAAGCTCAGGGGCTCATCTCTCTCTTCAAAATAGACTCTTTCGGCTCGGCGCCTATAGCTCAACCGGCTAAGGCGCCAGCCACGTACACCTAAGGTGGCGGGTTCGAATCCCCAGCCCGGACCCGCCAAACAACAATGATGGCTGCAACCAAAAAACAGCCAGGCGTTATGGCGGGCGCCTGTGGTCCCAGGTACTTGGGGGGGAGAGGCAGGAGACTCGCTTGAGCCCAGAAGTTGGAGGTTGCTGTGAGCTGTAATGCCACGGCACTCTGCCCAGGGGGACAGCTTGAGGCACTGTCTCAAAAAAAAAAAAACAAAAAACAAAATAGACTCTTTCCACCACCCTGCTTGCCATGGGAAAAATTCTACTAACTACAAATTTCCCCATCTTGTTATTTTTTTAATTGTATTTACTCCCCCTATAGACTGCTGCTCCGGGAACTGCCTGGTAGCTTTGCTACACTTTATCCAGTTCTGAACAAAATCACACATTTTTCTAACTTTTATCTCTGGTACTGATAAACTTAAAACACTTCTCCTAAAGTAGCAGCCTGACATCTTGGGTTTTTAAACATTTTATATATTGTATTTTCATTTGATCACATATTATAATGAGTACATGGCAGTATAAGATATATTTTTAAAGAGATTATATACTAACTCCTTTTGCTGAATTCCCATCAAGTGACTCTGTTTCTGAAACCCGATTGAGTGATTCACGAGTAAAACTGATGGACTTGGATAATTTTTCATCTCTCTCCCCAGAGTTATCCAAGCTGCTTTGTCCTGGACTTCTGTAAGAAACACATTATAGAAAAGTAAGGTCACTTCCACACAAATAAGTGATTTGGTTTCCTCATTGAGGTCCTTTTCTATTATAAAGCATTTTGACAACAAATAGATTATTGCAACGTAACAAGCTTTTACTTATAATGAACCTATCTTCTTAAATCTCATGTAAATTGACTTCATTTGAAAATAATTAAGATAAGCAAGCCAGGCACTGTGGTGGCTTATGCCTATAACCCTAGTACTCTAGGAGGCTGAGCTGGGTGTTGCTTGAACTCAGGACTTCAAGATTAGCCTGAGCAAGAGAGAAACCCCATCTCTACTAAAAACAAAACAAAAAGCCGAGTGTTGTGGCGGGTGCCTGTAGTCCTAGCTACTTAGGAAGCTGAGACAAGAAGATGGCTTGAGCCCAAGAGTTTATATCCTTATAAATTGTGAGCTATGATAATGCCATGGTACTCTGTGCAGGGTGACAAAGTGAGACTCTGTCTCAAGAAAAAAAGGTAAGCTCATATGACACTATAAATTTCAGAAACTTAAAAAAATCAGCAAAGTACATTGGCCACAACAGTAACTAATCAAATGAATACTGCTTGTTAAAATTTCAGTGATGGACAACCACAGAGATTCTAAAGAAAAAGGATAAATGTGTGAGCTGGACACTAGTCTACACCAAAGCACTTTTAGATCTTCCTTGGGACCCAGTCTTCCAAACTCCTATCCCAAGTGGAAGCTCCAGACCATCTGTGCACAGCGCCCATCAACCAGTCCTACCTCCTTGTTCTACGCAGCCCTAAGAACAGGTTTAAGGAATAGCTCACATGATGATAGGGGCCAAGACTACAATAAATGTCCTGGGATCTGCTTTCCCTTTCTCCAGGGGTAAAAAGAAAGAAAAGCTTATAAAATACAAAAGGAGCATAAGTGATCTGATTTCCAGCGCTCAACATTATAGAGCCATTATTATTCCTATGTAGTCATTGATGTGTATAGACTTTTTTTTTTTTTTGCTATGCATTGACTTAAAACCCTTCTCCTAAAATAAAGTAGAAACTTAACATTTGAAACTATATTATATTGAGGAAGGAATAAAAAAAAGCTAAGAGTATTTCAACTCTATTTAACTCTGCCCAAATAATAGGAAGGTTTGCTACCAAGTTACTGCTGGCCAGGCACAATGACAGGGCTCTGAGGAAACCAAATAAGAAAAATGACTCCTTGGAATTAGTTTACTACTTGAGTGTCTATACTTTAGGATTTAAGGATAGAAGTGAGGTGTGGAGAAATGGAGAGGAAAGAGTAGGAAGAAGGAAAGAGGGATTAAGAATGAAGAGAAAGAAGATGGAAAAGCTGAGGAAATAAAGGTTTGAAACCAATAATGTGTCTTTCAGAGATTGGAGACATGAGAAAAGAAGTAGAAGAGTGAATGAGGACACACATTCTTTCTTAGAAAGCTCTCAATCTTGGGGGGTGTCTGTAGCTCAGTGGTTAGGGTGCCAGCCACATGCTTGGGGCCTGGTGAGTTTGAACCCAGCCCGGGTCTGCTAAACAAAAAAAAAAATAGCTGGGCACTGTGGCAGGCGCCCATAGTCCCAGCTACTAGAGAGGCTGAGGCAAGAGAATCGCTAGTTTGAGGTTGCTGTGAGCTGTGAGCTGTGATGCCATGGCATTCTACCAAGGGTGACAAAGTGAGACTCTGTCTCAAAAAAAAAAAAAAAAAAAAGCAAGCTCTCAATCACCAGAAGAAAAACAGTAGCATCTTGGTTGTTGATCTCAAAAAACTAGTCCTAAGTGTAAGGCAACTAGTCAAAAATATTTCTATCCTTCTTTGACAACTAGAAACTTCTCAAATTGGCAGGGACTCAACCTAGGGGTGGTTCTCAACCTGTGGGTTGCAACCCCTTTTTAACAATGAAAATACATTGGGGCGTTAGGAAGGTTCAGAACCACTGAATCCAACTGTTTTCATTTCAGATGAGTAAACAAAGGACCAGGAAAGTTAAAAGATGTGACTGAGGTTACTTGGCTCCTTGGTGGCCCAGACTAAAATCTAGATCTTGTTTACCACAATCCAAGGCCCTCTGCATTAGAGTAATCACTTTTCTATTCAATGACAGTACCTGAGAGAGTCTAGTAAATTATACAAGGGAAATGATATAATAGAAATTGTTAACTTTCAAAAAAACTAATAAAATATACATGTGCAACCACATTTAAAATGGCTATAAAATATTGATGCTAAACTGAAATAATATAAATAGGCTTGGCATAACCAGATGAGTAAAATTTCATATTTTGAGACTTTAAATATATTTCCATTTTAAGACTTATTATAGAATTTTTTAGTAACAGCTTTATTAAGATATAACTGACATATAAAATTCACTTCATTTAAAGTGTACAATTGAGTGGTTTACAGAGTTGCACAACTATCACCACTATCCAAATTTAGAACATTTTCTTCACCCAAAAAAGGAACTCTATACCCATTAGCAGTCACTCCCTGTTCCCTTTTCCTCTCAGCTGCAGGCAACTACTAATATATTTTTTATGAATTTACTAATTCTAGACTCCATTTCATGCACATGGAAATCACATAATACGTGGGTCTTTCTAACTGACTTCTTTCACTTAACATAATTTTGCTATAGAATTTTAATCTATCATCTTTAATTGCTTTTAATCCTATAGCTTAAATGCACTTTAACTTGTATAGGTTAATAAAAATGTCCACTCTCCTAAATGAATCCTCATCAGTCAAAAATAATCTCTCTCTATTTTTACTTTATCACATTATCTATTACTCTTTTATGCCTCTTACCATTTTCTACCTTGTATAATAACTACGTGTATTTCCACTCCTTTCATTAATGTATTTAACATTTACTTGAGTACCAAAATACATGCCAAGCACTACAGTAAATGAACCTTGAGGAAAAGTTGTCACTATATCCTTCAAAACACCTACCATCTAATTTACTTTATTATTACCTATAAATGCAGAGGTTTCACTAGATACTTCTCTAGATCCTTAATAAAAAGGCTTACTAGGCTTTAAGCAAACCTTAGGAACCATCGTTACACAGTTAACATCTGCTTGTACGTCCAGTGTTTGCTTTCCTATTTAGCAAACTTTCTCTGTCCACCTTTTACCCCATTCCACCACAGAGAACAAAGAGGAAAACTACACCCAGAATTAATAAAAATTCAGAATTAATGGGTCTAAAATAATTGTTTTGATTATTAATGAATGTTTACATTTAAAAACATTTTGTTGTACCTTGGCTGCACATTATCCTCCATCGACAGTGACAAGTTTTCCATCTCTTCAGCATTTAAGCCTAGCTCAGTGCCATAGTTCTGCTGGAGCAATTGCCAGAATTCCTGTCTAGTCAGGCTCTAAAATGACAGGAAAATTATACCGAGTACTGGAAAATATGAAAAATAATATAACAGTGATTCAAAACATGAATTTTGAAGTTGAGATGGGTGCCAGCTGCCTCATCTCCCCCATAAGATGGATGCCGGTGGCCTCACCATGGCCTCACACCACCCCCCAGGTAGGAGGAAGGGGAAAGAGGGGTAAATGAAATGATGCCAAGTACCATCACTCTTAGATCGGTCCGGATAGGGCCAGAACAGAACAAGATAAGAACTAATGAGCCAAGTACTGTCAGGATGAGGGTTAACAAGCTAAGTGCTGTGACAAATTGTTTTACTTATATGCTAATTGCCAGATCTGCTTTATGTGACCTTTATGTTACATATTTGCTAATCCGCCAAATTGCAAGGTTCACTTCTATAAAAGAGGTCATCACGACCCTGTGCTCGCTTTTCGCTTCTTGTGCCAACTTTCTTTTTTTTTTTTTTTTTTGTAGAGACAGAGTCTCACTTTT